TAATGTTGAAGTCTGTTAGAGAAGCCCTTGACAAAATCCTTTCTATTGATGCCGATGTAGCAGATATGGTTAAGAAATTTCTAGCCATTTTAGATATTGGAAATACAGTCTCGTGTCTCTTCCACCAATTCAATACATTTTCTGAACTATTAGCCTTGCCTTCAGATAAATATTTTATAATTCCATATTTCCAGGAATTTTCATCGACTAGATCTGGGATTTTACTACAAGATGTTTGAAAGAAAGCTATTACATCTATATCAAATTTTCGGAATCTTTACATTGGCTTTGGAAGGCTGATTTTGTTAATAATTCGTTTTGTTGAATAGCCACATCATCGGCTTCAGAATCATATTCATTTTCATCAGGGATCAATTCTGAACCGCCGGATTGAAATGGTTCAGGCTCGGACATTTTCCAAATCACTCATTAGTATTTTTTCTAAAGAGATAGGTGGTCAGCATAAGCCTCTGGCTGTGTTTTGTGCCTCCGGCGCTTGGCAAAATATAAATCTAAAACAAATAATCTTACAACGACACGTCAGCCAGGATACTGTATCCCTACTATGTATCATTGTGTAACCTTGAAAAATTTAAAAAGCGTTACGGCCGGTACGTACACTTTTCATACTTCAAACTATTTCAAAAAGTTTGAAAAAGTTTAATTTTAAATCAAACTCCCGAATTGATTTTCAAATCAAATCAAATTCTTTTATCAAAAAAATTGATTTTTCAAGTCAAATCAAACTTGACTAGTCAAATCAAACTAGTTTGATTTGATGCATCTCTAATGCTGGTCGGCGTAGCCAGGTATGGGTTGATGTTTTTTGGTGGCGACGAAGCCGCCACCCTACGATAAGTCGTTGATTTGTTTTCTTGTTGCATATTTATAGACCGGTATGGGCAATCACAATTTTCCATTAACTACTAATTTTATCACAATTCGGCAACGTTGCAATTATATTTTCCAAATTTGACAGAACACATAAGGTGCGTTTTAATCATCCGCTTCTGCTTCGGAATTGTCGGTTTTCTTGTTTTAATCTGACAGGTTAAAACGACTAAACCGACAATTCCGGAAGCAGAAGCGGATGATTAAAACGCACCTATAACAAATTAACAATCACGAACGAACTGAACAGCTGTCGTTGTCACTTCACCTTACTTTACTAGATGGCGCCACAGAAGCAGGTTCATTTGTAGAGCACAAGAAATAGACGCTAGTCAGTTTTACAGGTGCTTATGAACTCTGATCACTAATATATCAAAGTCAGAGCAAAAAATAATTGAATATACTTTGATTAATTGATGTTCACAAGATTGGTATAGCTGTATTCATACCAATTACAATTCGAGCCATTTTCGACTAGTCTAGTTATGATCTAATCCATTTCCTTTTACCAAAGATATTCAAAGAAATAAGGCAACCCCCGAAACCCAACTAAATCTTACGACCATGAACATTAACTATAGTTGAATTCATAAATAGTAGGCAATAATTTATGTAATGTATGAATAGCTAACCTTAATGAAAGAATGGGTAACAATTGGTCCTGAAAAATGTTTGAGAAAATATATTATTTTGCCTTGTTGATCTGGCAGGAGCAGACAATAGTAAAGTGAAACAATCTAATAAAAAAGAGGATCTTGAAATCCTTCTGGTCCCGTCTATTTTTGAGAAGTTCGAGATAAAAGATGTAAAATTGTAAATAGTTGTAATTATATCTAGTTATCTACAGGTACAATATCAAACTTAACTTAGCTTCTGAACTTTCATTGTGCTTGTTCAATTGGATGGATTTGGTATGTATGAAACGGATTTCACGCAGAGCAAATAGGATATTTAATATGGGGACTAATAAGAGAACAGTAAAGGAGTCTCAGATAATGAAGATTTCTAAGATCAGCTGTTACTTTCCCGATAGAAAAGATTAAAGTTCTTTACCTAAGTGTCCTAAATAAGTGTTAGCTGGACAATACAGTAAACAAAAAAAATAGAGTTTAGCTTTCTATTAAAATTTACAAAATGATATTTGTTCGAATATAATTAATATCAATTTCTAAATTGTGGCTACTCTCGCGAAACCTAATATTCATAAAATCTTTTAAATCTTCGAAAAACACAATAATTTTAAACTTTAAAAGTATTCTTAAATATCGTTTATGAATACGAATAAAGGTTCCAAATGTGATCCTTGAGAAACACCAGGTAGGGTTACTTCCTACCGGACTACATACTGAGTATGCCGCACCTGTATACAGTGTATAACATCCAAATGGAATAAATTCAGTAGCTCAGCTACTGTGCATATTTATAAATAATACCAAAACACGCCAATTAGATTTCAAAATGACATTCTGAAACTTAACCCATATCTTTAACCTCCTTCGAGTAACAGTTGCAACCCCCATCTTTGTAAATAGGAAGTAGAAACTTGTGATACCTCATTTGAAAGATATTTTTAATTTTATTTAAAAATGCTGTTAGTGTCAAATTTATTGCAAAAAATAACCGGAAAAAATTAATAAATTACTAATAGAGTTTTGATCTTGATAATATAAAAAAATAACAAAAATATCGCTCTACCAACTTGGGCCACGACAGCTTCTTCATTTCACTTATTGGCACTTTTTGTCCACGTTGTGCTATGGATGCTCCGCACCCTGTTTAAAACTGCTCTGGGTGCTTGTGCACCCAGAGCCCCCGGGGATTCGGCGCCTATGGACGCATGATTTCTATTTTAATTGATGTAATATCCATATTAAGAGTAAAATCGATTTGATGATTAAATTGTTAATATTATTTTTGAAATCTAGATCTTAGATATCTCTTTATAACAAATCAATAATTTTTTTTAATTTACATATAAAGTGACATTTTTTGTAATCGTAGCAAGAGTCAAAATGATCCACTTTACGCAACCAGTTGCATAATGTTGAACATTGTGAAATAGATGTTTCGAAAAATTCATTATGTCACCAGTTGCGAAAAGAAAACAAATAAAAATATACCTCTTTTAGTTTTAAAATCTATAATATACATTAATATTAAAAGTTTATTTAAAGATGGGCAGGTTGACTCATAAAAATATAATTTGGTTAACCTTACAACTTAGTAATAATGCTGTTTCGGTCCTTTTTTTTCCATTCTAAATCAACACAAAATAAAAGAACCCACTTTTTTAAAAAGTAAATAACTTTAATAAGCCATAAAAACACAAGTCGTTGAGAATAGGTAATTAATATTATGTTCTTGTGGTAAATAAAATCATGTATATGCAACTAAAAATACAAGAAAGTAGTAATAATGGTTGCCTAGATGTCAATAATGTTTTACCAAAACAAAATTTTATAAATAATATAGTCAAAATTAGAAAAATATTGTATGCAACACGTTACGAAATGCCGTTTTATGTAACTGGTTTCATAAATAGCTGTTAAAATAACTTTCCACATTATTATTTTTTCCTAGTTCATGTATATACAGGGTGATTTATAAGTTGATACTTTTTCAACTGTGTATACAACTACTTAGAAGAAACAACTTTTTGAAATAATTTTTTTTAAATAACTCGAAAATGAGGGAGATAAGCTAATTTAAAAAGTCGAACAATTTCTGCGAATGACGGCTGACAAATGTTTTGTTGGTGTTTACATTTTTTTATGTCAAGCAGTGATTTCTCAATTTGTTGTCAGTTCAACCTAGAAATCACCCTGTATATTTGATTAGTTAATTTCTTAGACATTAATCTCATAGCGCAGGACGTAGGGTGTTCAACTTTGCTATAGGCGACCATCTCATGACGCTGGCTTAATCCCCGATGAAGGATCCTTTTTTTATTTTTTAATAATATTAAAATTGAAAAAATACGCTTATATTTTATTTATTTTAAATAAACGTTATTTATCATAATGTAACTCCTACTTTGCTATTTATTTTGTACTAACCATTAATAATAACAACTAATAAAAGTTATAAAAGATATTTTAAAAAACCGACTGCAAAAACGTACAGATGCCATTAGAAATTGAGTTTAATGATTTTCTCATAGATCACATCACCAGATCTTGACTACATTCATATATGCAACCACCCCTGAGATACGCCCTTTCTAACAAAAAAAAAATCATAGAAATCGGACAAGGTGGTAAAGAATTATCACTAATTACATAAAAAATTAAGAGTTTGATGATTTTCTCATAGTCCCAATTATTAGATATTGACTAAATTTATATGAGAACATCTCTGAAGTACCCCCTTTCTAACGAAAAGAATCATAGAAATCGAAAAACGTGGCAAAGAATTATCGCTGAACATACACAAAAAAATATTTCGACGAATTGAGAACCACCTTCTTTTTTTGCAAGTCAATAAAAAAGAAGTTTTTCTACGATCACTATCCAAAGTAGGCTTTTGCACTTCGAATTAAACCGCAAAGTAGACGTTTTCCGCGAACTGACATTAAGTGACAGCTTTGTCATCGCCAGGCGGAAAACTTGACAGCTTTGTTGCTCGCTTAATTTAAATTAGATATATTATAATATTTCTTTTTAATAAATGATTTTGAAGTTATTTGTACCTATTTTGATGTTTTTCTTTTATTATCCAAGTTAACGTTGACTTTGAATATCTCCTTTTTTCATTAATAACGTAGATATAGGCAATACATTATACACTACTTATGACAAATTTTCAGTTATTATATTTATTTCTTAAAATAATGGGTTCGTAGAAAAAATCTTGTGTATCTGTAAAACACTTTAAAAATTATTCAATAAGGCATGTACCATAAAAGAAATCTAAAACCAGCCACATCTTGAAGGAACCTTTATAGCAAACTTTCATAGATAAAATTATTTTGTAGTCGTAGGAAAAATAGTGTACATCACTTGTGTGAAAGTGATTTTTCACACTCGCAATTTAATATACTATTAACTACTGCTCAAAATTGTTCATGTAAAACACTGAATTCGTCCTAAATCTGAATGTTTTTGTTTCAGAAATGGCCATTCAGAATAAATCCAAATCGATCTCTAACAACGTATCAGAGGGAGATGACGCGTCCCTTCGATCTCTAAGCTCTGAAGATGTCTCGCAAGCCCCCAGGGGTTACTGTTGTGCCAAAAGTATTAATCCTGCCGACGGTAGAGGGAGGAAGTTGCACCTGTTACAAATGATCGTACTACCCTTCATACCTATTTTAGCTTTGATAATACAAACCGCTGTCCTGCTAAATAATATTATGGTAACTAGGAATGAGGTTATGGAAATTAATAATCAGGTAAGGAGGATGGTGTTATTGAAACGCCACTAAGGACGAAAGATCGTATTAATTTGACTTAAAACTTATATCATGCCCTAATGTAGTAAAATATTTTTTATAATTATTAAATTATTGATATTAATTATATATTTTGCTGAAGCTCATTTTCTTGCTACGGGGTCTGCTTCTTTGTTCCACAGCGCACTTCTTATGCATATTATAACCTTCAAGAGTCTTATTGGTGTGTTCTGCTCTGGATTAGAGAAGGCTTTCCAAGAAAGTGACGTGTTTTCTCTTAGGGTCCGATTACAATAAGAACACAGCTACGTCATCAATTGGCGGAGAAATTCGTTGGCGATAGCCGCCTACTGGGGGTTTAGTGGCGTCTTAATATTATAGGAATATAGGAATATTATTTTTAAACCAAACAACTCACATATTCTTTATTTGTGATAGTTTTAGATGATATATATTCCAAATTCAAAAAAATAGTCAAGGCGTAGCTGTGTACTTCTTATTGTAATACACATACTTTGATATGTGTTGTAATAGGATTCTACCCTTGAGAACAGGGCGCGTAACAAGTGATTAACTTTTAAAAGAAAACCGTTATTAGTGCATGTGCCTGTATATTTAAGTGACTTTCTCCAATTGGAATTCTAATCTAATACGAGTACATTAACAAAATCAGAACTGTATTATTTCAAAGCTCATCATGTTTTAGAACGAAGCTTTTATAAGACCTTACATTCATTAAAAATGTAAAAATATTGTTTTTTACTAACTTACTGTATCGTAACCTCCCACCCTGGTCGTTTCGTGAATTGTGCAAAAAGCATGACTTTAAATAGGTACCTCCCTCCCATTTGCATTATTTAAAGAAATTAGTACCTAATTTAATAGCTATTTTTACTCTTAGTGGTCGTCTAGTTTAATAACAATATTTTATTAATCACAATGTGTTTAATTAATTTGTAAAGTAATCCAGGTTCGTTGCAAAGTTATGTGCAAATTTAAGAATGAAATATTACTCAAAAATATATTTATCTTAATTTATTTTATCCTTAAATAAAATAGCGTATACAATAATTGTTTATTGATTGGGGAATGAAGAATTATATTCTACGTGAGACCTTACATGTGTCCCGCCCAAAGAAACAGGACACAGGCCATTTGCCATTAAATATTCTCACTTGAAGATAGAGCAAAAGTCCTTAGCATTGCACTGTCTTAAATACTTTCTTGTTTCATCGTTTCTTTTTTTTATAGGTGACCTTAATGAGATACAGTCGTTAAAATAACAGATGGACCACCTAGGAGGGTCTATGTATTTTCTGCATTTGAATATCCACATCGGATGCATCTGAGATGTGAATTTTTTATCACGCAATAAAGGATTAGATTTAAATGTAGATGTAATAAACAAACGCTCTAGACTTTATTGGTCAAGTGATAAAATGACAATGACAAGTTAGAAGTTTATACCTTTTAAATTTGACTTTTGAGACTAGAAATTAACTTAAATTTGAAATATTAACAAAAATTAAACAAAAAAATAATTTTTATATTCATGCTATCATAAACAAAGGATAAATCGATAAACTTGTCTTCACAAAACACCTACTTTCTGGCATGGAACGAACATCTCCTTTCAATTTGAGATGTAAAAAATGTAATCTGGACACCTACACCTCGGATAAACAAACGTATATGTAGATATAGTAGATGTGTCAGATGTGTATAAACAAACGCTCAAGATATAAAAAATGCATCGGATGTGGATATTCAAACGCAGCAATTGCAGGTCACTTACCCGAATAATCTGAGCTGGTAATTTGTTTGCTATTACTGAGGGTGCATCACATACTTCGATTTTCTCTTACTATACGGAGAATGGTCGCACTGCGCAGCTTTCTGAGTGCCTTTTAAAATAGATAGAAAACTCCGCCATTTTGATCCCTTATTTCGTGTTGCCTACATCTTGACGCAATATTTTTAATAGGTGCGTTTTAATCATCCGCTTTTGATTCGGAATTGTCGGTTTTCTTGTTTTAATCTGACAGGTTAAAACGACTAAACCGACAATTCCGGAAGCAGAAGCAGATGATTAAAACGCACCTGATATTTTGCTTGCTGCTGTCAGTGTCAGTGAATATTATTTTTGGAGTCACAGTTTATTGCTAAAGAATCAGTTAGCTCACTCGGATCAGTTGAAAGTTCCAAAATAACATCCACTCCAGGGATACAAATTCAGGATACGCAGAAGACTGCTGTTTTATTATAGGCGGTTGTCATATATTGTATTATCAAAGGTTCGCCGTGTATAAACTGGAACATTGAGATCAAAAGTGCCGACGCTGAGTGAGCGATCTGATTCTTTAGCTATAAACTGTGGCATAGGAATCAAAATGGCCGCGCCACATACTTTGATTTTCTTTTACTATATGGAGAATGGTCGCACTGCGCAGCTTTCTGAGTGCCTTTTGAACGGAGATAGAAAACTCCGCCATTTTGAACCCTTATTACGTGTTGCCTACATCTTGGCGAAATATTTTTAATAGGTGCGTTTTAATCATCCGCTTCTGCTTCGGAATTGTCGGTTTTCTTGTTTTAATCTGACAGGTTAAAACGACTAAACCGACAATTTCGGAGGCAGAAGCGGATGATTAAAACGCACCTGATATTTTGCTTGCTGCTGTCAGTGTCAGCGAATATTATTTTTGAAGTCACAGTTTATTGCTAAAGAATCAGTTAGCTCACTCGGACCAGTTGAAAGTTCCAAAATAACATCCACTCCAGGGATTCAAATTCAGGATACGCAGAAGACTGCTGTTTTATTATAGGCGGTTGTCATATATTGTATTATCCGAGTTGCACAGTGTATAAACTGAAACATTGAGATCCAAAGTGCCGACGCAGAGTGAGCGATCTGATTCTTTAGCTGTAAACTGTGTCACAGGGTTCAAAATGGCCGCGCCCTATGTTGGGCGTGTCGGACCTCTCTCTTGCCTCGTATAGTAATCAAAGTATGTGGGCCGCGCCCTATGTTGGGCGTGTCGGACCTCTCTCTTGCACCGTATAGTTATCAAAGTATGTGGGGTCACATACCTTGGGTATCATCGGTAAAAACTGTACATTAAATTACTCATCAACTGATGTGCGCAACAGAAACAATAATGAGCCGAGCATTAATCCTTGTATAACACCGGATTTAATCACGTAAAGTCGTAGAATATTGATTGACGAGTTCTACAGCTTACTATTTACTTTTTAATTAATTTATGAAATTTATGAAATTAATGATACTTCTTTAGATCCAAAAGAAGAACATTTTGCAGTTAGCAATTTATGTTTGAGGGTATTAACTGCTTTATTAAAATAGAGTACAACTTAAATACCAGATTTTTGACCATATTACTATTAAAATATGATCAGTTAAATTAGCTAATGTAGTTACGTTAGGCACTTCTAGAGCTCAGTTTGTTTACAGAAGCTGTTTTGTCTTTTTTTTTGATAAGAATGCACTACCTCTTTTTTATTGGGTAGAAAAATAGCAGAATAATAGCCTTAGATCATTAATTTACAGCAACAATCGGTTATGGCGGGGCTGAACTGTCCCAAATTAAAGATATTACAGTTAAAAAATAGTTACAAAGAATTAGCAGATAGTTATAGTAGTATGGTAAAAAAGAAATAAGAATTTCAGTATACCCTATCAACCCTATCTTTATGTTTTTTTTTATTTCTCTCAATATTATTGTATTCTTTAATTGTATTTACTTTTTTCATGTTTCATTTCATAATTAGGCAATTAACCTGCAGACCTTAATATTTAAAAAAACGAAATAATTCATTATATCGTGTTTTATTATCTGTGTCGATTGCGTGACCATTATCCTGTACGTTTTAACTTTATCTACTTATGGTTCAGTAGCTAGAAAATAATAGCCCTTTAATAGCAATTTTTTTGATATGTATCTAAACATGGAAAAGAGAAATTTTTAAATAATATAATAATAATAAACAATGGACATTATTTAAAAAATAATGTAAAAATAAATTTAAATAAATATAATTTAAAAAAACTAAAAAACATGCTTTTATAATACATTGAACTAAAAAGTATAAAATAATTTTTCAAATAAGCTTAAAACAATAATAAATGGAAAATACTAGTATTATTGTGAAAAAAGCGTCGGGCGCTCGATGTACGAGAAATATGGACAAAACGCCCCACGCTTTTTTCACAATAATACTAGTATTTTCCATTTATTATTGTTTTAAGCTTATTTGAAAAATTATTTTTCACTTTTTAGTTCGATGTATTATAAAAGTGTGTTTTTTTAGTTTTTTTTTTAAACTATGTATATTTATTTTTTACTTTTTAGTTCAATTAGTTATTAAAAAAATTGCTGAAAAATTTTTTTTTTTAGCCGTGGGGATTAGAACCCACGATCGGTGATTCTGGCAATCGAAAACCCGCGCCTTAGACCGCTCGACCAACGAACGAACTTGAATTAGTGGGATATATTGACAGTAATAAGCCAGTTGCTTTTAGTCCAAAGGAGAGTTACAAACATACATACAGGTGAAGCTAATATAAGCGTGTTAAAAACATATAAATTATTAAATTTTTTTATACTACTCAATTGAAAAGTGTCAAAATAACTTGAAAGTTCGTCCTGCATTACGTCATTCGCGGTTTGGACGAATTTTGAATCGAAAGTCAGCATACCTTTATTATGTGTATCCTGAATAGGATCTGTTTTTAATATGTTTACCTCTTTGACAATGGTTAGATAGATAAAAAAATAATTGAAAATTACGTTTTTAAATAACATTTGTCATTTAGTGGCATCCACAAAGAGGTATTCGCTCCGTGCGCGACAGCAGCGCTAATTCGTTTTGGTACTAATGGACTATTTCTGCATATACTGACAAATACAAGTTTAAATATAATTCGTAATTAAAAAGTATATGTGTTAGTTTTAATAAAAGTATATGGATTTGTAATACAA